GCTGCAGCCAGCTCCCCTGACAGCGCGCGGTCGGCGCGCGGTGACTCATGCAGCGGGAGCAGGGTCCACATACTCTTCGAGCCAGGCATCGCGGAGGCTGCAGCGACAGCCCTTCTTTCGCCCGAGCTGCAAGAGCCAGGCGAAAGCCACGCGTGCTGGTGGGCCGGGGATCAGCGCGGCGCGATGCTCAGCACGGCCCACGCTCGCAGGCAGCGCTTGCGGGAGTATTTGCAAGCGCGGGCGAAAGGGGCAGCAGGGGATGGGGAGATTCCCAGTCACAAAGTCCCTGCAGCACACAGACGAGTCATTCTGCTTCTCTGCGCATCGGTAAGCCTCCATAAACCACAGCTGTTCCCAGAGCTCAGCCGCAGTGCGCTTACACGCTGCCCTAGCAAGGGAATCAGCCAGCTTCCCCGACAGCCCCAAATCACTGCCTTCCACTCTCCAGACACATCCATACCCTGCCAGTGGGCCGAGGTCAGCACCCATCCCCTTCCCACCCTCCGTCACGCTTAGCCCCAAAAAGCATTTCCTGGCTCCAGCCTGAAAAAGCACTGATAAACCCAGAGGTGCTCTGCCCTCCGCTCCTAGGCTCCAGCTGGACCACCCGCACCGACGGAAAACCCAGCTCAGCCCATGCTCACAGAACAGAAAATCCCATGGTTTTCCCCACGGGATGCTGTCCCCATTGATGTGGGAGCCAAGGCAGGAATTTTATTTGCTGGTTACCGCTCTCCCAAAACTTGCCACGGCCCCAGCTCCGCGAGGTTTCCAGCATCCTGCAGGCCAACCCGAATTTCCTGCCACACTCCCAGTCTCTCAGGAAGCAACTGCAGCATTTTGCTGCCGTTTGCAGCCACAGAGGCAGCGTGCAGGTCTGGCCAGGCAGAGGTGGAGCAGGCAGGCGCCACTTCCTCTTCAACACAACCCGGAAAAAAAAAAGAGAGACAAGCAGTCCTGCCCTAAAGCTCTGCACGCTCCCTGCAGCCTGCTCCAGGCAGGAACATCCATGACACGAGCTCAGGGCACAGCACAGCTTCCCTGCTATTGCTCAGCCCAGTTATCGTCGCCCGCAAAGCACCCCGTCGCTGCTGGGCTTTATCTTGCAAGCGCAAGAGCCGGCTGCATGGTGCCAGACTTCGTCCCCAGGAGATTAGCGTGTCACTGAGCCAGCCTCTGCAGCCTCCCAAGGAAAGCCCATGCCCTCTTTCAGCACAAAGGAAGGTGAAGGAAAGACTTAAAAAGAAAAAAGGAAGAGAGAGAGAGAGAGAAAAAAAAAGGCATTGAGATAAAAAGGACAAGACTTTGCAATTCAAGTCCTTCCGTTCCGAGTAGGTCCTAGCACAGCAGTCATTTCTAGCCCCTGTAGGTAGCTGCTCTCAGCTCCTTATTATCTCGTCTCTCCCACACAGCTGGGATCCCTGCATGGCCGGGGCATGAAGAACTGCTAGAACCAGAAGAATGGTTTATGTCACCTGAAAAACCTGGAGACTCTCCAGCTTCCCAGGGCACCGGGCCCCTGCAAAAGAGGCGGCAGCTAGCACAGAGCTAGCATCTCCAAACCCGCTGCTTTGCGGCATCTTTACGTACGGCAAAAAGTAACGGTACAAGGTGATTTGGAGACATGTCCCAGTTATCCCCTGGCAGCTGACAGCAAGGTCTGAGACCAAAACACACGCTTTTCCATGCGATGGCTCAGTTTTGCGGATGTGATGCTCAGGACAGTGGAAGGAGCCACGCAGGTCTGCAGGCAACGCCGCTCGGGAGAGCGTGCCACAGTGCCTTGCACCAGGGCAGGGAAAAATAAGCTGACTGAAGTTCCTAGTGCGAACGACTAACCCACGTGATGCTGCAGGCACGTAACTGCATCCTTTATGCTAAGAAAGGAACCATTTCCTCCTAAAGAAAAAAACCTTACCAGTTTTTTTTTCTCATGCTATAATCTTCACCAGCTAAGAAAAGACGCATACATTTCCTAGAACTGCTTAATTCAAAACCTAACACGGCGTCTTTGCCGTGTCCTCGCTCAGATCCTATTATGCTGCACCTCTCCCCAGGAGGTTTATCATTCCCACTCTGCCGGCGTGGGTGGAGAGAAATGAACAGGACAATCTAAAGAAGTGTAAATAAAACTATTTGCCTGAGCCGACCTTTGAAATTAAACCTCTCCGCTGCCTCCTCAATGCTCGGTTCCAGCCCCAGGTAAAGTCCTGGTGACAGCCACGATATAAATCTGCTCTAGGTGGGAGGCTGCTTCCAGGGCTGCACAGCCTTGTTAATGCTGGCGAAAGCATTTCAGATGCCTCCTCCTTCTCCTCGACCCAAGCAGGAGAGTCAAATGCCACTGGCAGGGCAGAGGATTTAAGAAATACGGTGGATCCCGTCTCTGCTGCAAAGGAAGAGGCAAAACAGAAAAGCAGACTAGCAAAAAAAAAAAGAAAAGAAACTGGGTCCATACCAAGGTTTGAGAGCTATAAAAATCAAGCCTTGCCTTTTCGGATAGAGGCAGAGTATAACGAAGCAAAGGGGTGAATTTGGCTGCTTTAGTCGTGAGAGTCAGCTCCTTACAGACACGCTGCGCTATTTCCACCGTTCAGAGTGGAAAAAGCTACCCGTGCGAGTGGAAAAAAGGCTCTCAACCAGCCGAAAGCCGCCACTCACCAGCCCATTGAGCTTCTCTTGCAGAGAAGGGCTCTTGTGAATAAGCGTTGCTCCAGGCTTGCAACTTCTGCAAAAAAGCGAGCTCAGAGGAGGAAAAGGCGCTTCAGAAAAAGCCCCTTGCAGTCAGAGTTGCCTGCAGCAGAGAAGCCTGAAAGCAACCTGTCAGCCTCTGCTGAATCAGAGCTCCTGACTGCCAAGTCCATAGTGGGCGCTTGCATTTCGAACGCAACAGGCTTTTTAGCAGAGCACAATCATGCAAGAGCGCCTGCAAAATCCTGCAATCCGTGCAACCAAAATGAGACACACAAGCTAACTTCACCCTTAGAATATTTTCCTTTAGCTCCACTAGACTTCTACAACTAAGATGCCTGTTTTTCAACACCACACAAAATATGCAAGTTTCCAGAGCTTTAAAAATAGATGCCCAGCTGCAAACACAGATCTCCTTTCCCAAGCAAGGCTACCAGAAAAGAAAATTGCATGCATTGATCTGACAAAGTTACATGGTCCCTTTTAGCATCAGAATCAGCCATTCACTCACCCCCACCACGTGTTTTGGAAATTGCAACATATACCTTGCTTCTTGTCCATGGCTTCCCAGAAATGAAGAACAGAAACGGCACGCCTCGTCGCGGAGCGGGATGGGGGGGGAAACAGGAGGGAGGGAGGAAAAAAAGTCTGCAGAATCCAGCTACGGAGCTTCTTGCAAATCCCACGGCTTATTTTAAGCGAGAGTGCATGGTCCGACACGCTCGCCAGGCTCCCCGAAGCTCTGCTCCTCACCGAGCCCGAGGCGCGGAGCCCCCGCAGCCAGACCCCTGGGGCTTGCAAGCTGGGGCGCAGCGAAGGAAAGCGGGGGGAGACGCAGAAGGTAGTGCTGCGCTCATCGGCAGCTGCTGAGGTTGGCCGGTCTCATCTCCGATTACACTTGAAAGCTCAACAGTTGTAAAAACTGCAGCAGTGAAATAGCAGATGACGTAAACAGGAAACTGGGGGGGGAGCCAGCGCTGGGAGCCATTGAAGCACAGGATTTCTAAAACGCATCCCAGTGGGACGTGTTTTCTTCTGACAAATTAAATCATTCAAACTCAGCCTGCAGCTCGAGAGGTGCAGTCCGCTCCTGCCTCCTCCATCACACCCCAGCATCGTCCCGCTCCCTCCTTCCCGGCGCCCGACAGGAGAAGACCCTCGCCCAAGGACAACGCTGAAACAATTGGCCAAAACAGCCGCGTGGACAGGCTCGCGGGGCCAGCATCAGCC